AACAAAGGATTTAGCCTATTGCAATGATAAAAAGAATTCAAATATTCCTGTTGTAGCTATTGTATCTAATGGTTACCAACTCCTTTTATAAGAACACCATAAAATTGGAGAAGAGGAAAGAAGCCAAATTAATCCCCAGCAGAAGATATCCTAACCAATAGGCCTAAAATTTACATCAGAGATGGGCAAACTGAGAACCAGGGGTTCCTGTGGCCTCTGAGTCTTTCTCTTTATTTACTTAGCAAAGTCCATTAAATTCAGAGGTCTTCAAACTTGACAGCTTTAAGACTTGTGGACTTTAACTCCCAGAATTCCTCCTCCAGTCATGTTAGCTCATGAATTCTGGGAGTTGAAGTCCAGAAGTCTTAAACTTGCCAAGTTTGAAGACCCTTGATTTAATCCAATAGAAGGGTGATGGGGAAGCATTATCTGACTGGAGAGTAATTGTATTTTTTAAATGTTCATTCAGTTGAAATGTAAACAAAACGGGTTCTAATTACATTCAGGTTCTCAAGACCTTTTGGAATGTATTATCCATTACCCAAAACCCAAAGTCTTATTATCAGCTCAGGAGAGAAAAAAATGGGCATTGGTTTAATTTCTTACAGATTTTATTACATTATTTTGGGGGGCTTTTTTTCATAAAAAGCATCATAAACAATGCAATCTATTCTATTATTATTTAGTAATCAACTTTTCCAAAATATCTTTCCTTTGTGTTTTTCAATGTACTTGGGGTGGGGTGAGGGAACATTCTGGGAAGTATTTCTATCAGTTTCTTGGAATTGTAGGAAACCTGAAGCTCTGGTAGAAATGCAGGTCTTCTCCCAGATCTCATGACTGCATCATTTCTATCCTGCAGTAGGAAGAAGGGTGTGTGTGTAAAGATCTCCCTTAATATCACTTGCCCTAGTCAAACTTTTGCCATCTGGAGGAAGTCTGCCATGACGTCATTCTCTTCTCCTTCCTTTAATCTCTAAGCAACAGATGCCACGGAAATTTTCCAAGCTTTCTTTAAACTGCAGCTCACATCAGCAGGCTTGGAATTCAGAATCCAGGTCCCACCCCATTTCCTCGGAAGGAATCTTGGCATGTCTGGGAACCAGCTGGAGAACAAGTGCGTGACTGGTTCCCCTTCCTATAGGCTGCCTTAAGAGAGGGATAGAATCAAGATCTCGTGAAATGTTAATACCACTTTATATTGCTTGGGTAAGACCACACTTGCGATTCTGCATCCAGTTTTGGTCATGACGATGCAAAAAAGATGTTGAGACTCTAGAAAGAGTGCGGAGAAGAGCAATGAAGACTTCATATCAGAGTTTCCAACCATGGCAACGTTAAGACTTGTGGACTTCAAATCCCAGAATTTCCCAGCCAGCAAAATAACTAAGTCTTCTCCAGTGAGTCCTTCCTTTCTCATTAGGTGGCCAAAGTCTTTGAGTTTCATCTTCAGGATCTGGCCTTCTGAATAGCAGTCAGGGTTGATCTCCTGTAGGACTGACTGGTTTGATGGCCTAAAGTCCAAGGGACTCGCAGGAGTCTTCTTCTCCAGCACCAGAGTTCAAAGGCCTCCATTCTTTGGTGCTCAGCCTTTCTTATGGTCCAACTTTCACAGCCATATATTGCAACTGGGAAAACCATAGCCTTGACACACTTTAGCCTCTACATACTTAGCCTCTACACATTTTTGTTGGCAGGGGGATGTCGCTGCCTTTTAGTATGCTGTCTTGATTTGTCCCAGCTTTCATCTTTAGGAACAAGCGTCTTTTAATTTTTTGACTGCAGTATATCCAGTCTATATATCCAGCATATCTTGGCTTTCATATATCCAGTCAATTCCAACCTGCTGATAGAGAAGTTCTATGGTAGATATTTTATATCTAACCCGTGTTTTTAGGAAAGAAAATATAACTTGGCGCCATCCCCATGTTGATGATAACTGGGTCCAGATCTGTGAATTGCCCTTCCCAACAGATGTACGTACATGTTAAATAATAGAAACGGCATCAAATTCTACTGATTTTCTTGCAGAAAGTAATGTTAGTTTTCTAACTCCCCTCTCCCCCAGACCTCATTCCAGAACAGTTTAACGGGAGGAAAAAATGCATCATTTCCTTCCATTATCTATGCCTTCTTATGGCAACCTTCCTATTGAAACACATGGCTGCAATATTCCCAATTGTCAGCTCTTGGATATTAAGTGAGATTCATTCAAGGCTCCTGCTGATAATGTTACATTGATAAATTTGGAGTCAGAGAAGATGCTGCACAGTCATTTCAACTGGCTCTCCAACCTATCATACTATTCGCGTACCACAGTTATTTTACTTCTTTCTCTCCTAAAAATCTTAACCTGAATTTCTGTGAGAAATTAGATCGAGGGATGAGTCTACCTTCTACTGCATGTAGCCCTTGACTCACGGCCGGAAATGAGCTCAAAATTTCTGTTGCTAAGAGAGACAGTTGATAAGTGAATTTTTGCTTCCATTTTAGGACCTATTTTTTGTCACGGTTGGAAAAGTGACTCAGTGCAGTTGTTAAATTTGTGACATGGTCATTAAGTGAATCTGGCTTCCCCATCGGCTTTGCTTGTCAGAAGGTCGCAAAAGGGGATCGCATGTCTTTGGGATACAGCAACAGTCATGAGTACGAGTCAGTGGAGATGCAAAGTCATTTGATCTTAGGAACAAGCTAAGACTTTAACAAGTTGCTCACAATTATTATAAACCACAAAAGCTGCATATTTTGTGCATTCACCCCTCCAGAGCAATTATCTAGACCAAGAGCTCAGATTCAAAAAACCACCTATTGTTTAGCTAAAGGTTTAAAAAAAAGTTTTCTTTTAAATACTTAAAATTATCAGCCAGTATGGGTATGATTTGGCAAGATATTGACATTCATATTTACTAACACAATTCCCCTGAGAGACAACAGTAACAGATATTTTAAGTGATTTTAAGTGTAATTTATTAAGTTTTCCTTGAGAATAGCGATTCTGCAAATTAGCAGAAATCTTGAGTGGAATTGCTGTCCAAGTATAATTCCAAAAGATTCTTTGGAGACAGGGCCATGAAGCTAAAGCCACCATCTTTGAGAATGCACATATGACCACTTAAAAAAAAAAAATCTTGGAAAATTGGTTCAAACAGAGACAGTACTGTAGATCAGGTTGGGTATATAAGCAGTTTCTATCCTGTGGTCTGGGTGGGGACAATGCCATTGTTACTGTTGCTGTTTATATCATTTGTCTGCTTTTCCAAAGAATTCAGGTAGCCTATATGCTAAATATCGGTTTAGCATACAGGAAAAATAATGCAGCCATTAATCCTGCACCTGCTATGATCCTTGATTTGCAACTCAGAAAATGGCAGGGATGAAATTCTTCCAGTTGTTCACGTTAAACAGAGGAACGTTAATAGCCTTCTAGGTGGAGTTGTGTATGCAGTTTCTTTACTCTAAAACAGGGGTGTCAAACTCAAGGACCCCAGGCCAGATCCGCCCCATGGAGTACTTAATTCTGGCCTTGAGGAAACAGCAACGGATTGTTCTGTGGTGCTTCTGCCAGAGAAAATAGAGCTTGCAGGGGGGGGGGTTCCTGAAACCCTCTGCCAGAGAAATGGGGTGCTGGGGGAGAAGGAAGGAAGGAAGGAAGGAAGGAAGGAAGGAAGGAAGGAAGGAAGGAAGGAAGGAAGGAAGGA